GGAAAGAGAAGAAACTGTTAATGGATTGCATATTAGTTATTGTATCCAACAATTCAACTCATAAATTGAATTGTATGTAAATTGATATCTCATCCAAATCCAACACATAAAGATTGATTCTGCATAATCAATGTCCAAATATGATCCAAAACTATTTTCTCCACAATATGATACATCCAATTTTCTGCATGGATGGATTATTGAATTGGGATTCACTATGATACTCTTAGTCATGAATCTTTAGCTTGAAGACGGAACAACATTGATAGCTGAGGACTTGATTCAATTAATTTCAATTTTGTTCTGTACGAACTGGTTAATGTTGGGTGAGCTAAATAAGGCTCAAAATTAGCATGTTAAAGAGCAGACTCATTGTAAAGGCCACAGCTTGGCCTTTGTTTCAGTCGTCCTAGGCTTGGGTTAGTTGGTGCTGCACCTGTGGTGCCTGTTAGATACTTCTATCAACCTTGTGTGAGTTCCTTTATGAAATATGACCGTTGGAGGAAGTAATTCACCTTTAGTTCAACTAGTGTAATACTCTAATTACATCAAGTTGCAACATTCTTGTCCAAGAAAGTTCTTAGTTTGAAGCCTTTTGGTCTTATATCTTCGTAAATCTGAGCTTCGTAACTTTCTCATGACAGGGGTTTGTTAACATGCCTGATTGTGCTCTTCCTTTACTTGATAATTGCTGCTTGTTGCGGAGGCATCACTCTACCTTCCTGCAGATCATGAATTCTCTGAAATGGAGCACCATATTTGCCGCACTGTGGTTCATATTTCCAAATACAGTTAGATGAACTATATCATCAGAGTGAAAGGTTATTGTATAATCAATCCAGCAGATTCTTGTTCTGGCACCTTTAGAAGTACATGTGCGGAAAAGAATGATAAGGTTTGTATTGTTGTTGACAAGGCCTGTCGCCTTTCTCATTTGTAAATGTTCTGGTGGAGTTCTAAAGTACTCTAAAGTGTAAGGTATTCCGTGCCTGTTTGTAAATATAATGTTGTGCCGTGACTTACCTTTTGTACCATTTTTTCAAATGTATGGTGGTTGAGAGTTTTGACATGTGTATGGATACTGCTTAGCAAAAAAAAATAGTTCGTGGGAGGTATTTTAAGAGTTCTAATGCCTAGGAAGTGGATTTGCCTTTGAGTTAAGAGTGTATATCCTCCAAGAACTTGGAATTTGCAAATTCCAAGTTTTGGATCTCCTTTTCCCAAAAATTAAGATAATTCTGATGCTCCTAGTACAGGAGAAGTATTGATTTGGGTAGGGAAGTGTCGTGGCTTCACTGTACCCAAGGGCGTTCAACCTAGTGGTTAATCGAGAATCATAAAGCCTCGTTTTTAAATCTCAGTATAGACAAAAAACACTATGTGATTTCTTTCTGTATGTCTTAGTCTTGATGGATAGAATTATTTGGTACTTGTTGATAGGAGGTGATATGAATTTTGTGAAACTAGTTGAGGTATGAGAAAGTTGCCTAACCCTAGGGTTGTCAAAAATATGTGTCATGACTTCACCCTTCTATCTTGTCTTGGTGCCCGTTCTTATTGATCTGAGAACGGCGTGATGCCAAGTTCTGCCTCTCCACAATGAGCATTCGATCTACTGGAAATTGACCAACTTGTCTAATCACTTGATAAATCGAGTTTGGGTTCGATAAAATTCAATAATTTTGATCAATACATTGTATATTTTATTTATATAGAAAAGTTTATGCATAACCCAGTAAATTACCTTTTTTTTTAGCATTCAAAAATTCTAGATCAGTTTCTATTTCAAAAAAAATAATTCTAGATCAGTTTCTACTTATCAATTAATCAAAATGGTCTTTATAGGGGCCCAGTTCCACTAATGTACCTGCCGTCCATGCACTGACTACAAGACAAATGCATCACTATGTTTGTTAGTGCTTGGTAATATAAAACTTATTTTTATGAGAAAGTTCACCGAAAATAATTTTCTATTTGTAGCATAACTAATATCGAAGTAGTGCATATTGGCAAGAATTCAGTTTTGCAATTGACACGTAAACAATTTTCCTCAAAGTTGTAGAAATTATTTTTCATTTTCTTGTCGCTGAAAATTTATTTATTTTTGGAATTGAAAACCAAATGAGCTGCGACTCAAATAGGATTTTAAAAAAATTGACCAACCAAATATGAAAAAATAAAATATACCCCCACCCCTACCAAACACATCCTAAAGTGAGGTATAGACTATAGAACAGGGACTGGGATTGGGAAAAGGGGTAAAATGCTTTTATTAGCCTTGTACAGATTCCACTTTGTTAGCTATCCTTTTTTTTTTTCGTTTCCTTTTTGTTTGTTTGTTTGCTTTGTTATATAAGCCAAAGTAGGTACCCAAAAGCATCAATATTTTGTATTGCTTAGTGATTCCTCTCTAGTCCAGTATTTCAATTTCTACAAGTTCCATCTCCTTACACTATATCACCTCCCTCCATAATTAACCATTATCAATCTTTACATTTTCTCTAATGGAAACTCTTCTCAAGCCTTTTCCATCTCTTTTACTTTCCTCTCCTACATCCCACAGGTCTATTTTCCAACAAAATCCCCCTTTTCTAAATCCCACCACCAAAAAAAAATCAAGAAAATGCCATCTTAGAAACAAAAGTAGTAAACTTTTTTGTAGCTTTCTTGATTTAGCACCCACATCAAAGCCAGAGTCTTTTGATGTTAACATCTCATTGGTTGATCCTAATTCAGGTCGGGCTCAATTCGACGTGATCATCATCGGAGCTGGCCCTGCTGGTCTCAGGCTAGCTGAACAAGTTTCTAAATATGGTATTAAGGTATGTTGTGTTGACCCTTCACCACTTTCCATGTGGCCAAATAATTATGGTGTTTGGGTTGATGAGTTTGAGAATTTAGGATTGGAAGATTGTTTAGATCATAAATGGCCTATGACTTGTGTGCATATAAATGATCATAAAACTAAGTATTTGGGAAGACCATATGGTAGAGTAAGTAGAAAGAAGCTGAAGTTGAGATTGTTGAATAGTTGTGTTGAAAACAGAGTGAAGTTTTATAAAGCTAAGGTTTGGAAAGTGGAACATGAAGAATTTGAGTCTTCAATTGTTTGTGATGATGGTAAGAAGATAAGAGGTAGTTTGGTTGTTGATGCAAGTGGTTTTGCTAGTGATTTTATAGAGTATGACAAGCCAAGAAATCATGGTTATCAAATTGCTCATGGGGTTTTAGTAGAAGTTGATAATCATCCATTTGATTTGGATAAAATGGTGCTTATGGATTGGAGGGATTCTCATTTAGGTAATGAGCCATATTTAAGGGTGAATAATGCTAAAGAACCAACATTCTTGTATGCAATGCCATTTGATAGAAATTTGGTTTTCTTGGAGGAGACTTCTTTGGTGAGTCGTCCTGTGTTATCGTATATGGAAGTAAAAAGAAGGATGGTAGCAAGATTAAGGCATTTGGGGATCAAAGTGAGAAGTGTTATTGAGGAAGAGAAATGTGTGATCCCTATGGGAGGACCACTTCCGCGGATTCCTCAAAATGTTATGGCTATTGGTGGGAATTCGGGGATAGTTCATCCATCGACAGGGTACATGGTAGCTAGGAGCATGGCTTTGGCACCAGTACTGGCTGAAGCCATCGTCGAGGGGCTTGGCTCAACAAGAATGATAAGAGGGTCTCAACTTTACCATAGAGTTTGGAATGGTTTGTGGCCTTTGGATAGAAGATGTGTTAGAGAATGTTATTCATTTGGGATGGAGACATTGTTGAAGCTTGATTTGAAAGGGACTAGGAGATTGTTTGATGCTTTCTTTGATCTTGATTCTAAATACTGGCAAGGGTTCCTTTCTTCAAGATTGTCTGTCAAAGAACTTGCTATACTCAGCTTGTGTCTTTTTGGACATGGCTCAAATTTGACTAGGTTCGATATTGTTACAAAATGTCCTGTTCCTTTGGTTAGACTGATTGGCAATCTAGCTATAGAGAGCATTTGAATATGAAAGGTTGAATCATTTTCTTCATTTTAATTTCTTTGATTATTTTCATCTTTTCACAATGCAAAAGTGAGAAAAGCTATATACTGTCAACAAATAAACTAGTAATGGAAAGTCAAAATAGTGTGTTTGTTGTGTGTTATTCTAATGGAGTGGATTTTGTGAACTGCTCCACTTTGCTCCTCTTAAAAACCTAAATTCCAACATGAAAGGAACTGCTCCATCAGATTTTTGAGAATGTTTATCTGTCAATTGCCTTATTTCCCATTATTTTAAAGTTCAAACAGAAGTGCAATAGCTACAAAGAGTTGACAAATACAAAGCAGTCACTACTTTTAGGTTTCTTCACCAACTAGGCTAAAGCCATGACACCAACAAGTTTTCAGTCAGAAACACGACAAACGTTTTGATAAAAAGGGGAAAAAAGCACACGATAAAAATATAAATAACATATTTAGTGAAATTCATTCTACAAATGGAGTTGGAGAGGGTTGAGAGTACACATACCTAGTTGAGAGGGTACAATCAATATGAAATGCCACTTTAGGAACTCGTTTTCCCTACTTTCACTAAAAATTCTAGAAATATTCTTCTAACTTTTAGAATGATTAAATTTTATTATATGGTATTATTAAGTTCATTAATATATAAAGATGAAAAATGTCATTTTATGTAACAAAAAAATTATAATGTGATTGAGTCAAAATTCTTGTAAAATAACTCCCATATTATTTATTACAAGAAAAAAATGTTAATTAAGCCAATCTTATTGCCCCCAAAGTGCATTTATTATCATTTAGTTTTGGTTTTGCTTTTCATATTCAATGAAGAAAGATACTTCCAACATTTTTATTTTACAAGTTGATGAATTCTCTTTATAACAACTCCTTCATTTAACAATTCTCAACCATTGCATTCAAACTAATCCATGTCCCCACACCCCCACCAGACTCATATATATATATATATTTCCAGAACTTCTCATAATTCATTCATAACGCAAATAACAGTAACTTATATAATCTTACATACATACATCCCCCTTATTTACACATATTTCTTTTGTAACGTAAAAAAGTTGTTATTACTTGATCTGTTAAAGAGCCTCTCTCAAATACAATCCTCTACAAGCATATAGTACTAATTATGGATTCAAAATCTACTAGCTATGAAACAGCAATTAACATGTCTGAAACAGAGTCCATCAAGCAAAAATCTTCTTCTGCAGCACCAATTATAGCTACCACAAAGACCATTTCACATAATCAGAAAGGAGGATGGCGAAGAGGAGTTAGCATTTTCGACTTTATTTTGCGACTTTGTGCCCTTGTCACTACTCTCGCTGCAGCAACTACTATGGGAACTACTGAAGAAACTCTTCCTCTTTTCACTCAGTTCTTTCAGTTCCAAGCTAGCTATGATGATCTCCCCGCTTTCTCGTACGTTTATTTATTAATTAAACTTCAAATGCGTATAATAATTAATATTTGAGTGTATTTGATTGATTTTTTTTATTCAGGTATTTTGTGGTGGCAAATGCTATTGCAAGTGCATACGTTGTTCTGTCTCTGCCTTTCTCCATTGTTTGCATTGTTCGACCTCATCTAGTTGGAGCCAAACTTGTGCTTTTAATTCTTGATACGGTAATTAAAATAAAACTTGATTACATTTCTGTTATGTGTTGGTTCTACTCATTTTGATCTGTTTCCATTTGATTAACAAACAACAATAAAAGGGGCATTTGAAAAGCTATTTTTAATGTTGCAGGTAATGGTGGCATTTACTACAGCCGCAGCATCTGCGGCTGCTGCCATAGTGTACTTAGCACATAACGGCAACTCCACCACACAATGGGTGGCGATATGCCAACAGTTTGGAGATTTCTGCCAGCGAGTGAGCGGTGCAGTGGTGGCGTCCTTTATTGCAGCATTCATTTTCATCATCCTTGTTGTTTTCTCTGCTGTGACTCTACGAAGGCATAATTAGGACATTTGCTGAATTGGTGTTGTTGTGCTTAGCTTTCCTTAAAATTTGGATTTGGTGTCTTTCATTTTGATTTTGTTGTAATTTAATTGCATGCATCTCTATTGTTTTTGAGTTTTTGGACATCAATTTGCTTATTCACTTCTCTAATTTATCCACCTTTTTCTTAGGAATTTGACATTATTTCAATTTCAATCTTGTCTCCATTTAATTCTAAAACTTAATGACAAAATACGGTTTCAAAATTGAAAAAAGAAAATGATTATGCACGTAGAATCATTTTTTAAAAGTTAAAATATGAACACTATAATTTCTTTTTTTACGACAAAGAAAATTCGCGGCCGTTATCTTTTGGATGCGCACATGGTAAAACCCCGCTCCAATATAATAACTCACAAACCACACAAGAGACGTAACCCATACTAGACAAACTCGGTGCAACGAGCTCAACCCAGATGCCAACAAAGATCTCGAACTTGAGATCTCAAACATGATAACAGTGGGTCAATCCCGAAAGGTAATATAAACACTATAATAATTCTGCGGCCTAACCCTGCTCACCAACAATAATAGCATATCAAGTGCTCTATTTAAAACTTGGTGTCTACATTCAGAAAATATTTATACAAATCTTATCCCTATCTTTAAGAATTAGAAAAATTATTTCTGATAAATTAAAAAAAAATAGAAAGGTATCAAACAAATAAAACAACAAATATGAAATTTTAAGGCATCATATTCATTTCCCTATATGCCGTATTTATGAAATTTTGTCAAACGTGAAAGTAATGCAGTGGCCAATGAGGGTTCCACTAGTCGACATGTGTAAAGCACTTGACCGTAACAATGGTAAAATTCCCAAAGTGACGTGTCAATTCTTCCTCTTTTTCTCTCTTCCTTCGCCTGGAAGGTAATTACATAATTTTTCCCTATATCCGCTTCACAGATTACATACTATAAACCCTAATCACTCCCAATTTCTGCTTCAATTCGGTCTCTCATAATCCAGTAATTCGCCTCGAGTCAACTCTAGGGTTTTCTATTGGTAAGTTCTTGCCCCATTTCTGTTGAAATGCGTCTTTATCTTTATCGATTGTGTCAGGACATTATTGGTTATTTTCTATCGATTTGCGTTTGGAGAAAAAATATGGTTTGATTATCTCTTGTAGGATATTATATCTAATTTGTTACTTGGGAATTGAATTTATTTGATGGTTCTGGGATTTTCTTTTTCATATTTATTGTCTTGAAATTCTATTTTAAATGCCACGGCTGTTTTAGTTTGGTATGTAAAATGTGAGATCGTAATAAAATTGTAGAATCCTTGACAATTTTTTTAGCTTTGAAATGAATTGGGTCCAAAGAGGAGAATGGTTTAAGAGTATTAGTGTATTTGTCTCGATTTGTTTTGGCATTGACAAATAGTTGATGATGATGATCAAATGATCTTAATTGCAGCTTTAAGGTTGTGGCTTACTTTTGGGGAATTTCAAGGAACATAAAGAGAACAGGCCTTGTTGTTTCAAAAAAGAGTTTTGGAAGTGAAGTTCTCATGAGAATTTTTAGGGGAATGCAGAAAGTAGCTCGCGAGGATCAAAGGGAAGTAAGCTGCTGCAAGAAATCATTCAGTAAAGGTATTGGTGTGACCGCCCCAAAGGCCAGGAAGCGAGATAAATTGAAAGTGTTTCTCTAATTTGGGTTAAGGCAGAGTGATTGTTCTGTGGGTCTCTAGTTGAAGAAGGGCAGCAAAAATGACACGGATACTTGTTCAAAGAGGTTCTACAGGGTCTGCATCATCGTCGTCAAACCAGAACAGGTCGTCAGTGCCACTCCCTGGATCATCTGCTTCTTCTTCAGCTTCATCACAGCCACAGGCTTCTAGCACTAGTCAAGTGCCATCAGCTCTGAAAGATGATGAGTTGGTGGGAGAGTTTCCAGAATCAATTGTCTTGGATGATGTTTCAGTTGGTTCCTTCAATCACAAAGGTGATGGTGATGATGCTTCAGTAGAAAGTTTTAGCTGTGACCGAAGCCTCCCTGAAGAAAAGATTGTTGACAACGAGAAGGTAAGTGATGGTGCTTTTGTCTGTGGGGACTCCATAAAAGGATCTAGTGGTTTAAGAGTTGAGGTAGCGGAAAATGAAGGTACTTCTCTGCTGGAGCCTAAAGGTAGTTCATGTCCACCTCCTCCTCCTCCACCTCCTGTCCCACCTCCTAAACCTGCTTCACTAAACCCTAGCCCAAGGAAATTTTCATTAGGTAGTTCAAATGCAGTACGGATAGGATCATCTAGGGAATTTGTTGGGCAGACCAATGTGTCAACTAGGACTTCACCTACTGGATCTAGGCCATCCTCTCCACGGTCACACTGCGAAAGTGAAGGTTATAATAGCGCAGATGAGCAGAATCCCAACTTTGGATCCTCACTCAATGATGTGGTAAGTCCAAAAACTTATCTAGTAGAAATTGATGAAGGCTTCAGTTTATGCTCCTCTTATCCGTTATAGGAATATAATTGATTATTGGTTGATATCTTAAGCACATTTTATCAGCAATACCATTCCCCCTGCGCTAAATTATGCATCACATTTAGTTAGTGTTGGAATGGTCATTCTGCTCATGTAGTTTAGCATGAGTAAAGGATGATTTATTTAGTAATTTACAAGTTACAATTATCCTTCTATCAAAAACTGTTGCACATATCTGAAATTTGAGAACTTAACAATTTTCATATTGTTTCAGGAGAGAGAGCACCAGTTTGAAATTGATATCAGAAGAGCCAAAGGCTTAGAAGTTAAGAAAATGCGTGAAGATGGGAACTGCCTCTTCCGTGCAGTTGCTGACCAAGTATATGGTGATTCTGAAGCTTATGATTTGGTCAGGCAGATGTGCATCGACTACATGGTAATTTTTGTACAAAACACTCTGTATAAATGCAATTTTATTTGTTGACTTTCTTTTCTTCTTTGGTAGGTTTAGAATTTTGTTCACTTAATGTTGGTTTCATTTAGAAACGTGTTCTTTTAACATGCTATTAGATGGAGAGATGAATCTATCATATTGGTTTTACATTAGAGGGTGACCAGTTTAATTGGTTCTCTCCTTGTTGATTTTTAATTGTAAAATGTGGGTGACGGTGGCCTGGTACAATTGAGGATAGAAAGAGTGCACTGACAGAACAACTGTAGAAGCATCTACCGTGGAAACAAATACGCATCTGTTAATTTGAGAGCCAGATTGGTTTCCTATATGTCTATATGTAGTAGGTTCTTGGCATGCTGAGATGTCCTGTGTTGCATATCCTTTATATCTGAACTGAAGTAACTTCTTTCCCTCGGCTGGTGCTACAACTTTTTTCATTATATGGTTTGTGCATAATATTTTTAGTGGTGTATTTATTTTTGGGTTTTTATGGTTAGCTCCGTGGTTAAAGCATAACATCATGTATGGAGCTAACACTCCTACTTTTGTACTCTTTGCATCTACTTGATGCCAGTACTGAAACACCTTACTTCATAAAAAAATAAAATTTAATGGTGTATTTTGAGAGTTGAGAGTAGAGTCCCGTCAAAGGCGGATCGATCCAGGATTGATGTTTATGGTTCCAAACGAAATCTCAAGTTATAACATGTAATAATAATCGGGTTTACAATTATATATTCATAGATTTTTAGTATGTTTCTTACGACATATACAAGGTCCTGGTAAATGCTTATGGGTACCCACCTGTGAACTCATAGCTTGTCCTCTAAATCCGTCATTGAGTCCTGTAACTGCTCAAGTCCTTCCAAGTCACCTGCACTTGTGCAGAGCTGTATTGTAGATTTGGTGAGAGAATCTTACAACTAAGTATAGACATATGTAATATTTGTTTTCCTGAGAAAAATAAATAAATAAATAGGCGTAGACATGAAATTTCCATCTTCCCATCTTATAGCCACTCCCTACACATTTAAGAGAGGGTTTTCTTTCAGATCTCAGGAGAGAGTTGAGTATGAGTGGTTCTTATATGTATTCTGTAAAAGAGAATATAATATTGGAAACATCAATTAATAATTGAATTACATTTAAGTTAGCGATTGGAATCCATGATAAAATATTTGAAAATATTAAGTAAATTTGACAAAACCGTCTATAGCAGAAAATTGTTTTGTAGAACCTAGAGGATTAGGATTATAGTAGGTTGACCACCCATCTAAAAATTTGCCTTTGGTGAACTCTTTAAACATTAAATCTGTTGGGCACGTTCATCTTGGCATGCACTACATTGGCATTCAAGTGTAGTCTAAAATTGGATAGACGTTCCCATCACATGCCTCCTATATAGAGCAAAATGAATACAGAGAATTCATATAGTCGGCATATATAATTGGGATGGTCTTGGTTATTTGATTAATTGACTGATTAGAATGCAAAGGAACGCTTATCCCAAGAAAAAAGGGACAACTAGTTTTTTGATGTAGCATTTTACTGGTTGTTTTTTTTTTTTTTTTTGATGAAGTAAGAAGGATGTCATTAACAAAGCATCAAGCAGATGCACAGATTACAAAAGAAAGAAATATCAGCTCCCAAAAAGGCAAAAAAAGCTATCTAAACAGCTAACAACAGAGATCTATGGAGCTGATAAATTCTAGGAAAGAATCAACACTAAGTACAGGAGAGAGATTAACCCAACCAAAAAGAGTATTCAAACATCTTGCTTTAAAGGTAGAGATGGGAGTTGGGGTGCCATCAAAACATCTTTTGTTCCTCTCCGTCCATAAGCACCACAAAATACAGGCTGGAACCAAAGACCAGATCTGCTTGACGGACTTCCCAACTTTCCAAGAACTCCAACACACAAAAGCCTCTCTCAATGATCTTGGCATGACCCAAGTGAGTCCAAAAAGTGAGAAGAACATGTTCCATAGGCCTGTTGCAACTGTGCAATGAAGGAACAAGTGATTAATAGTTTCTGAGTTGCACAAGCACATGTAGCATCTGTTGACTATTTGGAATTTCCTCCTCATGAGATTATTCTGAGTCAAGCAAGAGTCTTTTAGAGTAATCCAACTGAAACAAATAACTTTAGGTGGCAACTTAGTTCTCCAGATTAATTTCCATGGCCATTGATCAATTACGGTCTTCTTGGAGCTTTGTTGAAGGTAGCA